TAAAAACAAGTATACACACACACGTGCAGATATGAACAAAACAATACACGTACACCAACACATACCCACATCGACAGGAGGACCACCAGGTAGTAAAAGTAATAACCTACTAAACTTATAGTAACATATCTTCATTGTTGAAAGTATTACAACCCCTATAGTAAGTTAAATTTATCGTTGCGTTTACAATTAACGGTTAGTTCATTTCTTTGATTTAAGAGATGGGTCTTATTTTTAAATCTAATTATTTCAAATTTTTCGTTAAGACATAGATAACAAGGGGAATATAGGGAATTACATGTTCGAGCTCCCTTGATTAATTTTCATTTAACAGTAGGTGTTTTATTCTTCTCTTTTAGACTCCAAAAATACTTGGATAATGAAGTCTTATACTTATAATTACTACTATTGAAATATTGCATATGTCCCCGCCAAAGTTCTTTGAATTCATAGTGCTTCCAATGTAAAGTTTTTTTTATTTTTGGGTTTTCTAGTGTAGATATTGTACTAAGGTAAACTAGAGAACTAGTCAAACAATTATTCTGTAATGGGCAATTATTTGGATTCCTACAATTGCACAAGTTGTTATTCGTGTCATTATACTTAGTTGTACTGCTTATAACCTGGTCACTATTTAAGTTTTTTGAGTCCCTATACTTGTTAAAGACTCTGTTGTTATGTTTCTTAGTTATTTTCTCTAGGTTGTCCGCACAACTATAGCTTAATTTAAGGGTATTAGGATTAAATATTTTACTAAGTGGGTTAGTTTCGGGGTCGGGAAAATGTTTCTTGATGCGAGTTAGTTATTTACGTCCTAGTTTAGTTTTAACCATGATATTGAAAGGGGAAGTAAATCAAATGATCTTCCTAGATCTTATTTTCTTATTATGGTCATAATTAACAGGGTTTCTATATTGAATAGTGGTACCCTTGTATCCACTATTTCTAAGGGCAGAATTGTAAAATTCACGATGTTTATTAAAAACCTCTTTGTTAGAAGAGTTAGTACTAATCCTAAATTCAATGGAGGAGGGTATGTGCTTGATAACCAAAGGTGGGTGGTTGGAATTGGGATGTACATATATTGGGTTAGAATTGACCTTCACATAAGGTTGGAAAGAGCTGCTAGTAAGGTCTAGGGTGACGTCCAGAAAATCTACCTGTTCAATGTTAGTTGTAACTGTAGTCCTAAAACCTAAATCCTTAAATTCCCTATTGATCATTTTTCTAATACGGTTTACCTTAATTTTTGTAGAGTTTTTAACAACTAATAAGCTATCATAATCTTACACTGTCAGAATCTAGACATTCAGAGGCACTTAAATTGTATAAAAGGAATAATCCCATTGAAATGTCAAAATTATCGCTGCAAGACTTTTTGGTTCACTGTTCTTCATTGTAGACCAGAACAGAATTTCGGCATTTCATGATTATACCCACTTCATTCTCAGAAATATTGGAGTATTCCCGAGTGAACTCCAAGCCAAAGTGAACAGATCTTTAGATATGGAGGCGATAATAGTCAATAATGTCGAACTGTATGAAAGTGCAGTTGCCCTTATATCGGATGTTAGTAAACCAGTTGATAACATCAGCTGTGTAAATCCACTGTAAAAGTCCAAGGGTGTTTTTCATGGATTGGTTGTTATTTTCCAAGATGGTTTTACTGATTCCACCGATTTCCGGTCTTGTAGGATTAATAAGCCTTGTGGGTGGCTTGGTTCTGAAATTGGGTTTATGGTCTTTTAACAAAAGACAAGCTTCCTTAGCTTGCAATGTACTGACACGATCACTTATCCATAGTTTGTCAGTAATGGATTTACTGACACAGTTAATCCTATCTATCAGGTTAAAATTATTAGTGTCAATTTTCTTGTAGCTTTTGGCCAGACTATTTTTAACTAAGGTATCATAATCCTTAGGGGATATCTTATAAAAGTTAGCCATTTTATCGGATTTGATATAAATATCACCGGATTTATTAATATCCTTGACAATATCATCAAGATTTTTTTTAAAAGAGTTTTTATATTTATGGAAGGTTAATCCTTTGTTCAAACAAATAGTCTTGGTCATGAAGAAAAAAGTAAGCTCTCCATCTCAGTCTTCTGATAAGGTTTTCTGTTTGTAGAATTAAATGGACGAAATAATCCCGATTTAACTCTAAATAATCCCCTTTAGAGAATTTAGTTGTGTGGTTGTAGGGTTATTAGAGATTATGAGGTCAATTGTTTTAAATTTTTTTATAATATATGATGAGATTATCTTGTTTATTATTATTAATGGGTTTAAAATTTTTACCTATTATGTTTTTGAGTGTTGCTTCGTCATGTTTGTAATTATTATGTATTTGGTTACAAAAGCATAAGTTAATAGTGTTATGTTTATTTTGACGTACACTTTTATTATTCTACGGCAGTTTTCATGTAGTTTGCAGCCATTTTGTACTGGCCAGAGTGAGAGCCTATAGCTGGCTGCCACGAATAGACAGGAAGATTCTATTGGCCAGCGTGAGAGCCAACAGCTGACTGACACAAATGTTAACAAGCATGCTAGCATGCAAAAAAAATTGATAGCTGCATTCGTCACAAGTGGGAAAAATTTAAATCTGCATGGCACTTTACTCCAATTGGCTCATTCGCTTGCTTAAACTCAACGTTGATTCTGATTCCACAGAACTGGGTTGGGTGTGAAAAAGTATTTGTTGTTAACATTCTTTTTTCTTTCGGTTTTTCCAGTTACGAGTCCTTTTTTGAAGATGATCGTTTTGTGTTCATTTTGTTTAGTTCTTTTTTCGTAACAGATTTAATGTTTAGTATAGATCTTAGAAAAAATTCACAGTGTGAGATAGGCAAGAAGTAAGGCATGTAGCAACATCAGCATGGCAAAGGGAACTCCTTTAAAGGCAAGGAAGGGCAAAAATATTTTAAGTCAATGTGATAGCAATTGCTGTATGAGTCGTACGATTTTTGAATCAAGCACGGGCAATGCCGTGCCATGCTGCTAGTTACACATATTACACATTATTATATACATATATATTATAGAAATTTTATATATATATATAATATATCTTACTTATTATAAAACGCAGGTTGTGTGTGTATGTGTGTGTGTTTGTGTGTGTGTGTTCGTTTATATATGGGATCGGATTTCCCACATTTTTCAACCGATTAAAAAAAAAATCTTCACAAGACTACGTAAAATTACCCGGCGGTGGTTCTGACAGCGCCAAAAATTGGAAAAACACAATTGTTTTTGCACGAAATCAATTTGAAAACACGGGTAAGGGCCATTTATGCAGATTTTTCGCAGTCTTTGGACGATGTTTTGTTACCGAGCCACCAAAACAAAGCAAATGGTCCAGTTTCTGATAGCACTAACGCTTGCCTATCTAACAAGTACCAAATTGTTTGCAAGACTGTCAAAGCCGCTTGACCAGGGAACCATAAACGGGGGTACCGAGGGACAGGTTTTAGCCCTCTGAACACACATTCACTGGCACTGTATGTATAGTTTTGGTTTGATTCAAATGAAATTTACGACACACTTGCGGCTTACTATTGCCTTTATGTGTGTCAAATTTCAGAATTTTTCGGCAAAAATAACCGAGTCCGCGTGTCGATACCGAAACTGCTGCAAGCCCATTGGTCGCTTTCACAAAGCTTGACTTTGAGGCCTGTCCAATCATCGCGCAGGATTTCTCACACGTTATAGCGCCCGCGTGTTCGCGCGTCAGCTTTTGTGTAAGTGCGCTCAAGGTCAACCACCTCTATTGCGTGCTTTCACACTTTTGCGTAAGCCCGCGTGCACGCACTTGGCTTACTTTATTCGTCTACTTCGGACACCGCAAGTTGTTGATTACGTGTTCTAGCTGCTTTTTTGTTTTATAGTTCCAACCCAACCCCACACACGTAAAACAATTGTACTAAAAACCCATTTCTTTTTGGATTTACCCTTGGTTTACCTTTTTAAATTTCCACTTTTTTAGTTTCGAGTTCCCTTTTAGTAACATCTGAACTCATTTTACTGGGTGTTCCCCTTTTTGTGTCTACGTTAGCAGTGCACGTTTTTTTGTTTTTTGTTTTGCATTTGACGAAATATCTTTTTAAGCTTTACCCTCTTTGACCTTTTTACTGTTTGGATGCCACCTAAAAGCAGGAAACTTTTGGGACGGCGCACGGCAGCTGCCTCCGCTGCTAGAGCAGCGAGGGCGAGTGAAACCCCTTACAGACTTCTTTGTGTCTTTCACGGATGGCCTCGGACTCAGCTGCTCGTTTATCTACGGAAAGCGCCGCTGCGAGGACTGAAAGATTGGCTTCAGCGGCTTCAGCCATGTCCGCACACTGCACCAGGCTTCCAGTTGAAGAACGTTCACTTCAGAATTCACAGGACGCAGTCCGCGTGGCTAGGTTGAGGGCTTCACAGTCCCCAGCACAGAAAACCCTTCGTCGTTTGCGAGATGCCACAGCCAAAGCTTTCTCCAGGGGTTTAGAAAGCCCCGAACAAACAACTTCACGTCGTCTTAAGAATACTAGGGCTACAGCCGTCTCTAGAGCTTCGGAACAACCCCAGGAAACCGCTCATTGTCACTTTAGAAATGCCCGCCCCACCGCGTCTGCCAGAGCCTTAGAAAGCCCTGCACAGACCACTGTTCGTCGCATTAGAAATGCTCGCTCCACTGTATCTGCTAGAGTCCTAGAAAACCCTGCACAGACCACCGTTCGTCGCGTTAGAAATGCCTGCTCTACTGCATCTGCTAGAGCCCTAGAAAGCCCAGCATAAACCACTGTTCGTCGCGTTAGAAATGTCCGCTCTACTGCGTCTGCCAGGGCTGCAGAAAACTCTGAAGTACGCCGTCAACGGCTCGAAAACATTAGCAACTTCGAGCTTCTTTGGATGGCGTAACTTCACCGTCTGCGTCATTTTGGTTAAATGCCGCATACAATTATGACTGCACTATCAACTTTTCCGCTAGGAGAGACGTACAAATAGGGGCCATGGATAAAGTTTGCACTTTTTGCAACGCAAAAAAGTGGGCCGGTGAGCAACCTGGGCTTTGTTACTCTGGGGGCAAAATCAAACTCCCTTCTTTAGACGAAACTCCCCAGCCGTTTAGGGACCTCCTTCTGGGTACAACTTCGGAGTCAACGCATTTTCTTGCAGCAATACGGAAGTACAACTGTTGCTTCCAGATGACGTCTTTTGGTGCGAAGGCTATTAGTGAGTGGGGATGGATACATACTTTCAAAGTGCAAGGCCAGGTTTACCACTTAACGGGATCACTTTTGGCTGATCAGGGAGAGCCACCTCAGTTCCTACAAATTTACTTTCTCGTTGACTACAACGAGCAGGTTGATGCGCGTCTCGGCATTCTGCCTAGCGATATTTCTGTCGGTCCCCGTAGAGACATTCTGTTCCGTCTACAAGACATGTTCCACGAAACTAACAGTTACATCCGAAGCTTAAAGTTTGCGTTGCAAAACAACTCTTCGCCCTCTTTCAGCGTTGTCATCGATGCAGAAAGATGGCCTCACGGTGAGCATGAGCGTCGCATGTAATGAAATCGCCGCAGTCATCCACGGTGAGGAGCATAACAGCCGTGACATTGTCATAAGGTACCGGGGCGGTGATCTGCGCTGCATCAGTGAAACCCACTGTTCATACGACTGTCTCCAGTACCCACTTCTTTTTCCATACGGAAGCGATGGGTACCACTTCAAAATCCCAATATACCAGGCAAGCAGAGATTCCAAAGTCGACCTCAAAGACGGTCTCCTGTAGGGCTTACTACGCCTACATGTTTATGGTTAGGGTGGGTGAATTTAACCACTTGCACATGTGCCGTCAACTATTTCTTTAATTCGCTGTTGACATGGCTGCAAAAATGGAGTCGGAGAGGTTAGGATTCATTAAGTTAAACCAATCTAAACGTAGAACCGACTCCTACATTCACCTTCGTGATGGCCTGCGTTCTGATGGTGACCCACGCAATGCCGGAAAACCGTGCATTTTGCCTTCCTGTTACACTGGTGGCCCTCGATACATGCATGAAAGGACACAAGACGCAATGACCTATGTCCGTCATTACGGGAGGCCTGATTTGTTCGTCACGTTCACGTGCAATCCGAAATGGGTTGAAATCACACGCGAACTTTTTCCAGGTCAGCAGTACTCACACCGCCCTGACCTAATTGCCCGCGTTTTTCGGTTACAGCTGTGTAAGATTATGGATTTCATCCTTAAAGGGCAAGTCTTCGAACGCGTTAAGTGTAATATGTATACAGTGGAATCGCAGAAACGCGGTTTGCCTCATGCCCACATTCTGCTATGGCTCAACGATAAGGTTGACGCAATAAAATAGACGATTTTATTTCTGCTGAAATTCCGGATCCCGCGCTGGATCCTTTGCTCCACGAAATCATTAAAAACAATATGATACACGTGACGCGAATTAGGAAAAAAGGTAATGTTAGTCAAGCGGCCCCACTTGCGCAAAGTGTTACCCCCGTAAGTTTATCTCAGAAACGCAGACTGCGACGGATGGTTACCCACTGTAAAGACGTAGAAGCCCTGCTGAGGGCGGCAGAACTGTGACAGTTAAGGAGCACACTCTGGACAATCATTGGATGGTGCCTTATTGCCCGCTGCTGTCAAAGACTTTTGGAGCCCACATAAACGTTGAATACTGCCACTCGGTTAAGTCAATAAAGTACATCTGCAAGTAGGTTAATAAAGGCAGTGGTGCTGCTGTTTTCGGTATCTGGCGCGACAATTGCATTGACGTGGTGGCCGATTACGTGGCTGGACGCTACCTCAGCAGTAGCTTTTGGCGAATTTTCGGATTCCCCATACACCAAAGGGCTCCAGCCATTGTGCAGCTTGCTGTTCACTTAGAAAATGGACAGAGGATGTACTTCACCGAAAAAAATGCGAAAAACCCTAAAGACACACCCCTAACGGTTTTCTTTAAATTATGCTCAACAGATACTTTTGCCAAAACATTGGTATACCCACAAGTCCCGTCCTACTATGTGTGGTCAAACAACCGGTGGGTTCGGCGAAATGCTGGCGAACCTGTCGAGGGTTATCCCGATGTAAGGTCTAACTCTTGCCTTGGACGCGTTTATATTGTGCCCCCTTACCTTCTACTTCATGAAATTGCTGGGCCAACGAGTTTCACAGATATTCGCACTGTCAACGGCCAAGTCTTATAGAGAGGCATGCTTCCGTTTGGGATTGCTTGAAGACGACCCCCAATGGGATGCAGCCATGGCGGAGGGTGAACTTCTCAGAACGCCATCGCGGCTTCGAACGCTGTTCGCCATTTTGCTTTTGCGATGCGAACTAAACGATCCTCTGTCGCTTTGGCTAAAGTACGGAGAATCCATGTCAGAGGATGTGCTGTTCTCTGTTCAGCGTAGCAGCCCAGGAGTTGAATTCGGTTTCACTGACTTCTATTCAACAGAGCGCTGGTGGCCCTAGAAGATGTTGTTTTCGAACTGGGAGGTACGTCTGTACCAACTTACGGTTTACCACCACCGCTCAGAGACGGTTTTGACACTGTTATAATTGAGTTATTATGGAAAACATCCTACTCCATCGAGGGGCTGAAGCATACATTACCGAAAACGAGCCTAAACTTCTACCTGATCAGATGATTGTTTTCACTACCATAACAGACAGGGCAAACGGCTCCAGTGGAGGTATATACATTTTAGATGCGCCCGGAGGAACTGGCAAAACTTTTGTTACTAAATTAGTCCTGGCAGAGGTACGGTGTCGTGGGGAGATCGCTATTGAGGTCGCATCTTCCGGGATTGCTGCAACGTTGCTACCGGGAGGTAGAACCGCTTTTAGGTTGCCGCTTGATGTATGCCGGTCACAAACTCCTCTTTGCAACATAACAAAGAATTCGCCACAGGCAGAAGTTCTGCGGAAATGCAAACTTATAGTTTGGAATGAGTGCACGATGGCACACAAGGGCGCCCTTGAGGCACTTGACCGAAGTCTCCAAGACATCTGCGACTCCTCCGACTCCATGGGTGGAGTAACCCTTCTCCTCGCAGGTGACTTTAGGCAGACTCGACCTGTTATTCCTAAAGGTACACGCGCTGACTGCGCCTGCCTGAAGTCGTCTGCCCTTTGGCGCCACGTGGAGACTCTTCAACTGAGCACGAACATGCATGCCTACTTGAATGGGGACTCCAGATCCGCTGACTTCGCACGGGACCTTCTTGCTCTTGGGGAGGGGAAAATGCCATCTGACACACAGGGTTTTGTGCAGATGGATCAGCTTGCCACCACTGTTGAATCACCGGATGAATTGATGAATGCAGTCTTCTACAACCTATCCATTAATTTTGCCGATTGGCTTGCTGGGAGGGCCCTATTGGCACCGAAGAACTGTACAGTTGATTCCATCAACTTTAAACTGTTGGATTGCATTCCCGGGCAATGTCATGTTTATAAGTCCATCGACAGAACTTCTGATCCATCTGAATTAGCTGAGTATCCCATAGAAGTTTTGAACTCCCTTCAGCCGTCCGGACTCCCACCTCATATTCTTCGGCTCAAAGTTGGTGCTTCGATTATGGTAATCAGGAATTTGCTCCCACCTAGACAGTGCAACGGGACTCGCCTCATTATTAAATCCCTTTCTCCGAACCTGATTGAGGCGACCTTTGCAACTGGCTGCGGAAAGAGAGAAGTCGTTCTGATTCCTAGGATGCATCTTCTGCCGTCAGAAGCAAGCATACCAATCAACTTTCATCGCTCACAATTTCCTATGAAGCTTTGCTTTGCCCATTAACAAATCACAAGGACAGACGCTTAGCATTGCAGGTCTGCATTTACGTGAGCAGTGCTTCTCTCACGGCCAACTTTACGTTGGGTGCTCACGAGTTGGGTCTATGGACAGGGTTTTCATTTACTCTCCCAACAAATGTGCTAGAAACATAACCTACATGGAGGTCCTGTAGACAACCCACCCGGTAGCGTTTAAGCGTCATGCACACATATGCAGTCCGATTGCATGGCAATTTTTTTGTTTGTCATATTGGTTTTAACGTTAGGTCGTCGTAGTCTCCACTTGCTATTACTAAGACATCTTTCTAAAGGTTATCCAGTTCTTTTGCTGCCTTCTGACTTTCATACCTTCACTCGCCATCATCGCATTTGTTTGTACACTATGATAACCTCACCATATTCTGTTGCAACAGAAGCTGCTAGACACATGAACACTGGCATTAGACATGATTGCTCCATGAGCCTGTCATCTTTATCCAGCCCGATCTCCTTAATATCTAATTCATGGTGCGCAGTCAGGTTGTACAGTATTAAAAGACCGACAAGGTCAGAAGACTCTGCAGAGTCTAAAGATCCCATAGTGATGTCAAAATGGTCATTATTGTTTTTAATCCATTGGTCCCCATTATGAATGAATTATGAATTATAAACAAAACTAGAACTTGTAAAACTTGGGATGACCCATGCCCTTTATGCCTACATGAAAAACTACACATTATCAAGTTTCTAAATAATAAAAATTTATTAAACAATAGACATGAGTTAACGGTTTTTTGCTGACATCATCAAGTTTTTGCATTGAATAATTAGCATAAACAAACAATAAAATAATAAATACAAATTTTAAACTCCAGTCTAAATAAAATGTTTAAATGCCCTACCAAATAAAAAAAAAGAAAACCCTTTATGAAGTCATCAAAAAAACAAATGTTAGCGAATTATGAGTTTTTTTTTATATACACAAAACCCTTTCAGAAAAAAATAAAAAATAAAATAAATCTCCATAGACACTGAACCACACTAGACGATGTCATCTTCCGCTTTAAATTTAGACACCCCAACCTTACCCTGACTTGACCTCTTTGAATGTAACTGAGATATTGATACAAATTATTAACCCTTACACCCCTTTTCTTTAAATAATTGCTCTAGTCGTTACCATAGTAATTTTAATTTTAATAATGAATATGCTTATAAAACGCGTAAATTTCAGGAATTAGTTATTCCAAAAAAAATTTCGCTTGAAGATGGAACAGAGCTTGGTACTTTAATTCAAATAATTATATTGAAGTTTTTGGCTCTTGTTTTGAAACATAAGAACTTTTATGTAGCGATGGAATCATATTTTTAAATAAATAATTATATATATATATATATATATATATAATTATTTATTTAAAAAATTTCAGTTGCTGAAATTAAATCATAATTTTTGAAATTTATGGATGTAATAGAAAACAGATCATGACATAAGAGAATTTACAACTAGTCACAATAGAATTCAGCAAATTCAAAAACCTTTTTGTTTGTGCCCTCTCAAACTAAATATGAGACTTTGCATTGGAGTGCTATCAGTCAACTCAAATGCCAGCTTGTCCATACAATTTATGCCAAGTGACTCTCTTCATCCAAAGAGAGAAATTTAGTGACTAGTTATCAAAAAACTTAACAATTGAAAGTACATATCAGCTTCTCAACTGTCCATACACTGGTATTTCCTTTAAACTGTGAACTGTAAGTAATGACGTTTAGTAAAATGTATGAACATTTTCATTTCTATAAGCATTTTAAATAAGAATGTTTAGAAGGAAAAGATACATTCATAAAACCTACTTGCACACATTTTTATATATAAAAAAAATTTGTTGTAAAAATGTACATAAATTTTAGTTTTAAATTTTACTACAATTATTGGAATCCATTACATTCACTTACATGCTAATACCCTTTTGAAAGTTATAAATCCTTTTTTTCTC